CCTGGTGGCAACAATGATCCGGATTTATAGTGAATGTGCCCTAGAAACTTTATCTTATTCAACAGAAATACAATATACATACATACATAAAATAAGCTGAAATACCTTAAAAGCCAGTTTCGCGAAAGCAATTTAAGTGAAAAATGATTTTTTTCTGTCAGGTTCTATATTGAAAACAATTAAAAAAATAAGCTTCCATTAAACTGCTTTCGTGAAACTGGCTTTCAAGGTATTTCGACAGGTGGTAATTTGAGATTTACCACTGCACAACTCAACCCTGGTTTCTTCGAATGAAGCTTTAAAGCATAATAATATGTGACCTGGTCTACGAAAAGGGAGCTTACGTGCGAAAACTAGTTTTCTGTAAAAAAGCTGTTAAAAGTAAGCAACTCGTTTCGTCAGTTTCTCATTACCTCGTTAATTGTTTACCGCGCCGGACGTCCAGTAAGTGTTGTTGTTGGTCCAGTAAGTGTTGTTGTTGGTCGGAATATTATTATAGTTCATCGTGTAAGTTGCTAGTGTGGAACATTTAAAAAAGTAACACTGAAGAAGTGACGTTTTTGTACTTCTAAGCAAGTTAGGATTTTCTGCTTTTCACCACGTAAAAAAGCATCTCATCTTCCATCCGAATCAACCAAAGAGTGAAAATTGATTTTTTGACACCTAAGCCCCCTTTCCGTAGACCAGGTCACATATTGGCAAATCACGTCCATTGGGCCAATCGTAACACACGAGAGTTCGATCTACTCAATGGTGCAAAAGGTCGAATTAGACTGAAATTTGCGGCAGTGAGAAAACTCACTTGTCGATTTTTAGTAATAACTCGACCTCAGCACCACCTCGAAGCTGTTTTTTGTAATTGGACTGCATTTACCGATTCCGATACATGTTTTGAATCTTCACCAAATCGGATCATAAAAAAGATTTTTAGTAATAACACAACTACAGCGCCAACTGGCGGGTTAAATTGTGAAACTAAACTATCCAAAGACCCACTCAAACACACACACAAAACTTTGTTAAAATCCCTCCAGCCATTTGGGATTTTATTCACAAATATACCTACAGAAGAATTATATAAACATTCAAAGATAAGTAAAAGTCAGTACGTTTGCACTTTTCTACGCCTCCTTTTTAAAGAGCCCATTTTTCTAAATGAGTATGGGATTTATTTCATATATCCCCATACGAAGTGTTCCAGTGATGTACCATGAACTCTTCCAGAGCTATGCCGTATGAAGTTTGGCTTGTATGATAGGTGCAACGCCCCCTTTTCCAATAGCTCCATATTTTCGCCATGACTATGCGATTCATTTCATATATCACCACACCAAGTTCCAGTACTATACCAAAAAAAATTCTAGAGATATGCAATAAGAAAAATTCTTCTTGTATGGGAGATGCCACGCCCGTATAAAGTTTCAGTACTCTACCATGAGCACTTCCAGAGATACTTATTACCAAAAATTCAGTTTGTATGGGAGGTGCCACGCCCCCTTTTCAAATAGTCCGAATTTTTCGTCATGAGTATGCGATTGATTTCATATATCTCCATACCAAGTTCCAGTACTCTACCATGAACATTTGCAGAGATATACAGTATCACAATTTCGGTTTGTATAGGAGGTGCCACGCCCTTTTCCAACAACTAAAATTTTTCTCCATGAGTATGTGATTGATTCCATATATTTCCGTACCAAGTTCAAAAATGTTACCATGAACGCTTCCAGAAATATACAGTATGAAATAATCGGGTTGTATGGGAGGTACAACGCCCTCTTTTCCAATAGCTCCAATTTTTGGAAAGAATATGCGATTGATTTTATATATCTCCACACCAAGTTCCAGTACTCTACCATGAAGATTTCCAGAGATATGCAGTATGAAAAATTCGGTTTGTGTAGGAGGTGGCACGCCCCTTTTCCAATAACTCCAGTTTTTCTCCATGAGTATGTGATTGCTTTCTATATTTCCGTACCAAGTTCAAGAATTTTACCATGAACGCTTCCAGAAATATGCTGTATAAAATATTCGGGTTGTATGGGAGGTACCACGCCCTCTTTTCCAATAGCTCTGCAAGAGTATCCGATTGATTTTATGTATCTCCACACCAAGTTTCAGTACTCTACCATGAACATTTCCAGAAATATGCAATATGAAAAAGTCGGTTTGTATGGGAAGTGCCACGCGCCCTTTTCAAATACCTCCAATTTGTATCCAAGAGTATGGGATTTTTTTCATATATCCCCATCCCAAGTTCCAATACTCTACCATAAATACTTCCAGAGATATGCAATATGAAAAATTCGGCTTGAAAGGGAGGTGCCAAGCCCGCTTTTCCAATAGGTCCAATTTGTCTCCAAGATTATGCGATCGATTTCATATGCGCCAATACCAAGTTCCATTACTCTACCATGAACACTTCCATAGATATGCAGTATGAATATTCGGTTTGTATAGGGGTGCCACGCCCCCTTTTCCGATAGCTCCAATTTTTTTCCAAGAGTATGCGATGGATTTCGTATATCTCCATACCAAGTTCCAGAACTCTACATCGAACATTTCCAGAGATATGGAGTATGAAAAATTCGGTTCGCAAGCGAGATTCCACGCCCCTTTTATATTTCGAGATTGTTTTTAGCCGATAACCATCCTTTGAACATCTGCAGCAGGTGTCCGAAATTTCAAAAAAACATCGGTTCAGCCGTTTTCGAGCTTTGCGATATACATAGATGGATAAAAGTTGCTGCTTTTAATATTGCGCTCACTTACGTAGAAAAAACATAGCAGCAGGGTTTTATGCGTAATTATATACATATGTGACCTGGTCTACGGAAAGGGGGCTTAGGTGTCAAAAAATCAATTTTCACTTTTTGGTTGATTCGGATGGAAGATGAGATGCTTTTTCACGTGGTGANTAAACGTCACTTCTTCAGTGTTACTTTTTTAAATGTTCCACACCAGCAACTTACACGATGAACTATAATAATATTCCGACCAACAACACTTACCGGACCAACAACAACACTTACTGGACCAACAACAACACTTACTGGACGTCCGGCGCGGAGAACAATTAACGAGATAATGAGAAACTGACGAAACGAGTTGCTTACTTTTAACAGCTTTTTCACAGAAAACTAGTTTTCGCACGTAAGCTCCCTTTTCGTAGACCAGGTCACATATATATATGTACATAAATATGCATATTCAAATGTAAGTGCTAGCAGCAATGTTAGTTGCTCCTTGTGGCAACATAAACGACTCTGCATTAGGGTGGTCCAAAAATGTATGGGAGAAAAGTAAAATCGGAAATTTAATGCTCTCACCCCCTAGGATTGTTCTATACCGAAAAAAATATACCCCTGTTTTTTTTTATTTTAAAATCAAAATATATTTAGAGGTCGCTCAAAGCGCTCAAAGCTTCCCATGTATTTTGTATGGGGAAAAAAAGACTTTTCGTAGAAGTGGCATAGAATCCATGGAAATCAAAATTTTTCAATCTGAAGACTCTGCTTCTCTTCAGAAGACTTCAGAGAATAATGCCCAATTGTTTATTTAAACGTTTTTTAATTTAAACTACTTTTGCTAGGTTATTTAAGCTAGCAATGGAAACTTGCCTTCTGACAAGCACCAAACCGTAATATTAGAAGATAAATGCGTCACTGAAAATCATGAACGTGAACTGTTGGTGAAAATGTTGGACCAAAATGTCTCAATACAAAAAAAAAATATTTTTGGGCGGGACGAAGTTCGCCGGGTCTGCTGGTTTTGATATGTAATCTCAAGTATTACTATCTCTGTTGAGAAATAAATTTACAACATATTGCTCATTTACTTCAATTGTGTCATAATATTGATCGCAAGTATTACAAACTCTTTTGATATATAAATTTACAACGTATCGCTCATTTACTTCAATTGTGTCATAACTCAAATAAAACGAACTCGAGAAAAACGGCTTTAAAGTTGTGAATTTACATATAATCCCATAGTAAAAATTAATACGTATTTTGTTGTAGTGGGCTACTGGCGATCGATACATCTATAAAATATTTACACAACAAAAATAGAAGAAGAAGCGGTAATTTCTGCGTACTTGACTCGATATTTGTATTTTCTGGATTAATACGCTATTGAAGTAAACGAACGATATGTTATCTTATTTTGCGAATTAATTGAATAACACTTTATTTGTGTTTTTTTTTTTTTGTAAAATAGCAATGAAGCTTAGAATAAATAAGTTCCTTTTAAACCATTTTAAACTTGTAAAAAATTTCCTATTTTATTTTGTAAAATTGAACTTACTTTAAACGATACTATCGCGATAGCGCGACTATTATGGTTTTCGTTCGGCGAGGGAAGACTTTACTTTTGAATTGCCTACTCAATCCAAAGCAGCAATTTTCTTTATTCACTGGAAAGCGGTTTTTACGTGGCGGGTCCCTAATCTAGCGCACAACCCAATTGCTGGGAGGATTGTTACTGAATAAAAATAATATAAATATAAATTTAATTGTGCTTGTGGGTTTTCTCCATAAAATGTTCATTAAAAACGGTCTCAAACTCAATAAAGTTGTTGAATATAATTGTTATAAGGCCACAAATAACAAAAAGCATATAAAATAAATACATATATATTAAATTTTCGAACCGCTAAAAAGAACCGAAACCCTCATACAAAGATAAAAAAAAAACCATTTGACGAACCAATCCAAAGATTCAAAAATGCTTCGAACAGCTGAACCGAACCAAACCGAACCGACCAAATTTTTCATGCGGTTCAAGTCCCTGTAAAATATTGTGTGAAATTGCGAAACATCATGGTCTGAAGAGAACAAAAACAGAAATTTATAATCAGCAGAATGCCTCTTAGAGGGAAGGACGTCAGTGAGTCGATTAAAAATGTTAACAAGATTAACGGCATCCCACAGCCGTATCCACCGCTTCTGGAGCAGCCGACGGTTAGTGTGATCCCCGGACTATTATATTAAGCATACCTTTCATAAGTGATTCAGTTGCATTCACGTTTTTGTTAAAATTGGATATTCCTTCACCGTTGGTTCCTTCAAGACTTGAAGAAGTTTGTATTTTTTTAGGCGAGCTACAGCATCTTAATGCATCTCCAGCGCTGCCACATCTAAAGCCACCTTCATTTTCAGTATGGTAATTATGCTGCTCGTCTGCCATACTAGTTGATACAACAACATGTACATCATTTTTATACAAACCGGCCTGTAATGAAGCCGAATTCTGTCCACCTTCTTCTCCGCAGCCACCAATTTGAGGCTTTAATGAAATTAATTGACGAAAGTAAAATTATGAATGGATTAAAATGAAGTTATACAAATACTTAGAATGTAACTACTTATTTATAAAATAGCATGTACATATACCTACAAGTAATTTTTAGCAAAAAAAAACATACTTAAAAAACAAAATATATATATATATATATATATATATATATATATGTATTTCATGATCCATCGGATCGGATCTAAACCAAATTAGTATGGGAGCACTTCTGAGACACTACCTTTCGAAATCGGTTGACGTGGTCCAAAGTTATGCGGTAACATACATAAAAACAAATATTCCGACGAACTGATAGCCTCCTCTTTTTTTGGAAGTCGGTTAAAAACTAGGAAACTTTTCCACATTTACTACTTAGTGACCAAGTTAGTAAATGAGTGGGTAAAGATAAGGTTTTTACCTAACGGAAGTAAAACTAATATTTTTCCTGGCATGAAAAATGTTTTATGACTTTTGTGGTCTAAAAAATAAATATTTTACGTTTTTTTTAATATTGTTATTGCGCTTTGTACCACGAATATTTTTTTATGAAAAATGGAAAAAGCAACAAATTCTAAGCGGTAGAAGTTATAGCTGCTATTTCTGAGATCGCCACATCTCCTCCAGACTTCATTTCGGGTTCGATTCCTGCTGAAGTCTAGAACAAGAAGTCTGATGAGGAGATATGGTGATCTCCGAAATAGGAGCTGGTTTATTCCATTATAAAGAGGAAAACGACATAAATTTAAATATGCCCTAATTTTCTCTATTTCAGTAGTAACCTCTTTCTAAATGACTACATTTCATTAACTTGTGGGAAAATATTAAAAAAAATCGAAAGCTGTTGTAATTTTTGCCTATAGAAACTTTTATTTCATACATAATTACTTTACACCAGTCGCAAGGAGATGTTCCATCAGCCACAACATTAAATATTTTTTAATATTTCTATGAAGATTATATAAACCTCATTTTTATTGAAAACGAAAGCGTATAATTCATGTTTTACAACACAAATACATCGTTCGGGAAAATTAAGTGCTTTGGCTAAAACTCATCCTTGAGTGCACAAGCGTAAAATAGAGTTCTTTTACATAAAACTAAGAAATCGTTTGGTATTTTTTTAAAGCAATGTTATACATTAGTTATCGTTCTATGTTAAAGAATATCTTTCGCCGTTATATAAGTTCCAACGACATAGTTAAAATTCACAATAGACCACATTCTGGAGTAAAATGTCCCACTAGTCACAATCGCTATAACTTCTACCGCTTTGACTATGTGGCTTTTTCCATTTTTCCTTGAAAAAAATCGTAGTACAAAGCTCAATAACAATATTCAAATAAATATTAACACGCCGCAATAATATTGACTAATTTTACGTTTTTATTAGGTGATTGGCCGACCTTCCCCAAATTGTGGTGTGGAACTTGATGTTGTCGCCCACATGAAATGACCTACAACTTCATTCCGACAACAGCCGGTTCTACGCACTCGAATGACCCGGGCTTCAACCGACCAAGGGCTGTTATTTCGGCGATCTAGCCCGATAAGGTCGGCGATATCCATCAAACGCTGTTCGATTATAGGGCTACATCTGCTCCGGCACCATGAAATTGTGCATATGAAAACTGTGCATACGAAATAATACATATGATTTGTGAGAATCGAAAATTTATAAGTCCTTTTTTAAAAGTGCATGAAACATGCAGATTTGGTGACATCGACAAATAAAAAAATACGTATACGCTTATTTTCCGAGTAGAATAATATACAATGTTCAGTCGGCTTGCATAATTGAGGTGGAATTGGTCAAGATAAGGGTATTTTAGTTAATTCCATTATGTGAAAAAGAGACTGTAGGAAAATGCAATAGTCTTTGAAATATCTGGGGAGATCCTCTTGATACTCTCCAATTGGACGATATGGCGTCGTATTCAGCTTGAACGAAAAGAGTCACTCCCTGGAAAACTTTTCTGCAATTGTTTTCTTATATTTCGCAGTTATTTATACAGAGATGTATCTAATTTTTCCGATATAACTTTGGCAAATATTACTCGATCGGTAGTAATAATTACCAAATTAAAGGCGAGATGAAAATCGTTCAGATCGTAAAAAAAATATTTTAAAAAACATAACACTTGATTAATTTTTGTGAACTTTTTGCAAGCTTTAAAGCTTTTATTTATGTGTTTTCTGTTACAGATCGAGCTATATTGCAAATGAAAATAACTAAAAATAAATAAATTAGCATAAGTTGCAAACAACATCATTTTGAATTTCGCTACTATCTTATTGGCCGCAGCGGATGTTTTAGAGAATGTTGTTGAAAATAAAAATTCAATATTTCCAGATGCTTTCCGTTGGCGGTAATTTCCGCCAGACGTTTTAAAGCTAAAAAAAATATACGCAAACTGTCTTATAGTCGCAGGCCCAAAATTTTTATATATATAATATTTAGGCGAATATATTTCTTTATTATTTCATTTGAGTTATTTTTTTATAAAAATATAGTTATTTTTTAACAAAATATGGACACAATCAACGGTAAGTCTTAGCTACTTCAAACTTGCACTCAATTATACTAAAATTGAATGAGCTACAAAACCGCATACTTCCTCAAAAATCGAATTAAAAAGCTCGAATTTTTCCAAAGTTTATCGATTTCTTTCAAATATGGCACAAAGTTTGAAACTTGGATTTATACGGTTTTTATAAAAAATACAATTCAAATTAAATAATAAAAAAATTGTAGTCAAAACTTGTCAACATGTGGGTGGCGTTTAAGTGTGATAAACACTATATTTTAATACATTTTGTAAACAGGCAGACTAATTGGAAGGGCCCAATATTCCACGTGACACAAAGCTCCACTGTGAGTAAAATCGTGAGAGCATTATGCAAGCGCTTGAGCGCGTGGGAGATCATCCCTGTCGTGAATTTCGTAGTCGACTTCTAAAATAGCGTACTTTTAGCCAACTTATTACGGCCAACTTTTAATTGGTTTTAAAATCATGCAGGGCTCAATCCAGGGAACATGTATGTATGTAAAACTATATTCACATTACAGCATAAATTACTTTGTTTCGATCAAATTACTTCACATAAACCAAGTAACCCAGTTGTCATTTTCTTTCATAATTTCTATAGCACGTGTACGTACGAGTGTGTGGTTTGTACTTGATTTCAAAAAACAAATAGTTTTTTTAAATTTCCTCAACAGTGGGGCTAAAATAAATGAAAAATCTTTTTTTCTTCATTTGGTTCTTGATATATGATGAATTATTTCATTTCTATTTAATTTATTGACAGGTTTTACCAAGCGAAGTTACTTGATTTCAGCATGATTTGCTTATAAATTACAAATGAGCCGTAAATTGCGATAATGTGAATATGCTTTAAGATTGTTTCAAAATTTTCACTTTCGACAAAAAACTTGAGTTCAAAAACATAATATGTAGTCTAAGATCCGACAAGGGCACGACCTTCACCCACCTGATTAATAGATGTAATCTATTTTGTATGAAATTTAACGTGTTAACAAATATTTCGCGAGTGGGTTGGCTGAAAAATCCTGGCCAGGATATTTTTAATTAAATATCCAAAAATTATTATTTCTTTTTTAATTTTGTACTCATTTGTTTAATGAAAAAATTATATACCAATCGAAAGTATTTAACCTATGAATGGAAAAACGTTGGGTTGTCTACTTTTTTCCTGGCCTACCTATTGGGTTGGCAGGTTTAAACAGGTAGGTAATACTAGTAGTTTTCACTCATTTGTTTAACATATTTTATAAGGCTTACTGCTTTCGATTGATATATATGTATGTAATTTTTTCATCAAACAAATGAGTGCAAAATTAAAAAAAAATTAATTTTTGAATAATAAGCTAAAATTATCCAGACCAAGATTTTTGTTTACTTTTGAATTAATAACACATAACTATTTTATCCTTCTGATTTAATATTTTTTTATTTTGACAAATTTATTTATTATGACGAATTATCTTTTAATGAATATATAAAATTATCGGTTGGTGGATTATGAATTTAAATAGTTAGCCCATACATACTAGTCTTTTCAGACCTTTTGCGAAATACACTAGGCCAGTGCTGCCAAATTCGAGCACAAAGTCATGGGATGATGTGATTGGCTGGATGCTGAGTCTCGTATCATGTAATCTATAGTCGAGTTTCTTTGGGTTATACAGCTCAGTATCGCGATCAATTCTCACGGAAACAATCCGGATCATTTTTATGGGTGTTGGCAGCACTGATATTAATCTTCTGTTTTGGTAGTAAGAAGAAGAAATATAAACAAGCTACTTGAGAGAAAAGAATAATCGAAAAATAAAAATAGAAATTATGGAAGCGGAATTATTTGAAGTAAGTTAACATTTTAATATTCGAAGTTACAGTAATTAAATTAGTTTATTTTACTATGTGTAACGTAGCTGACATGTGAATCGTCGTCATCGCAATCAGCAAACACCAGCGGCTTGACGGAAGATCTTCTAGATTCGTCCTCAAGTACAATAAGCACTTCAGAAATTGAAGAGGAGCGCGCAAAAATTTAAAACTTTTTGCTGTTATAGACAAATATAGTTACCTCGAATTTAGGCGGCGTTTTAGACTAAATCGCTCGACTGCTCTTATTTTAATTGATAAGAATATTCATTAATAAATTGTTGGGTCCCTTACACATATATTTCCATTTACTAATTTTATAGAACGCTATGGTGCAAGCCCCTTTTATACCAGCAAAGAACATGGTGGATTATGTAAGGTTGGAGCACCAAACGAGATATATATGCTTCTATGGTATATGGCGAATACCGATACATTTCGGGAAATCGCAAATCTATTTAGTTAGTCTAAGTCGACCGCATGGAAAGTAATAAGGAGAGTGATTGAATGGTTATAGTCAATTGGCCACGAATATGTTCAGTGACCCTCTTTAGCCAAGACAAGAGACAGCGAAGTTCCAAATAA